GTAAATCTCTCCGTCGGTGTGGTTTTGGGCGCCGTCGGCGAGCAGACTGCGTAGCTTCACCGTTTTGCTCCGTTTGGCTCCGTTTTAGCTTTATTTCGCCCCATTTCAGTTGCTTTGTGTTCCTAACAGATTGCCCTAAAAAATAAGCATGAAAAAAACCTTCCTTTAAAGTGTAATCTCATTCAAAAATATGCAAGAAGTGTAAAAGAGATTAAGCATCGAAAGACTTATCGAAAGGTGACAAGACAAAATTTCATTTCTTGCTCTTTTTTTGTCCAAATTGCACCATTTTTGCATCTTTTTGCTCCAATGACCACAATTAATCATACCTGCAACAAAAATATCAAAAATACCCTTCTTTAAAGTGTAATATCATCAAAAATAGTGTAAAATAGGTATGAAATGTCAACATATTTCTCTTTGGACAACGACCCTCTCTCATATATTAATTAGGATAACTTTAGAGAGAAGAAATGAAGGAGTTGTGTGTTAGTAGAGAGTATTGTACGAGAAAGGAATAGAAGAGATTCAAAGGAACTTCAAAAGTTTGGTGGAGATGAATTTGAGATAAGTTTTTATTTTTGTGACTACATTTAATTTTAATTTATACTTCTTGTTACATGATTTCTACTTTTAAACTTAAGTGTTTTTGTGCTTTCTCCATTAATTATGAGTAATTTTCTTTATATTTTTCCTTAAAATGATAAGTGATTAAGTGTTTGATGGAAGTTGTGAGTAGTATTGGTCTTTAATATTGAAATAAGTTGTGATGATTTTAGACATTGTACTTTGCTTACTTTTTGATTTGACCAATTAAGATGTTAATATTTGTTGTGAGAACATGTAAGATCCGAGATGACATTATATCAGTCAACTAATGATAAAAATCACATGAGATTGTATGGATAAAAAATGTAATTCATATGATTGAGTGCAAAAAAATAGGGAAATAAACATTGAAGGGTATAGAGTTAGAGGACTTTAGAGTGATAGACTAAAGTCCTCAATTCGGTTTATTGTTTTAAGTTTTGATACGAGATGTTGGGTAAGAATATTTTTCAAAGAGTTTGTAATCTAATTCCTTATTAACAGATTGTAATTCTCCCTGTGGGTTCGATATTCAGGGCTTAATCAAAAAGTCATATATTACGTGATTATGATACCTATACTTGCGTAGTATCCCAATATTTAAATATAATAGTTGCACTCTTATTTACTTTGGAGTCAAGTTTTTGGTATCGTTGCAAAGTAAGAAATATAAATAAGAAAAATTGAACATATAACCACATACTTCGTAGTACTGTCATAAAAGTTGGGATCATGATCCAACAACAACTTAGCCTCGAAATGCTTCTCAATTTGTTGAGATCCTACAGGCACAACTTACTCACCTCCTAGTTTAATTCCTCCTCATTGATTCTAACACATTAAATTCTTCATCTGATTCCATTGCATTAGCTCCAGAAGCTAAGAGGATGCATGGTGGTAGTTCCTCACGAACAAATCATACATTTATGAGTAGGTGTAATTCACTTTTTAAAAGTTAAAATTGTGATATTTTTTATGTTACGTGAAAGATTTTTGTTATGTAAATGTAAAAAAAGTAATGTTTAACACTTAATTACTTTTTTCTGTTGCGTGAAAGAATTGTGCTGTGTAAATGTAAAAAAGTAATGTTTAACACTTGTTAAATATTTTTGTTGCGTGAAAGATTTGTACAGTAAGACATAAGTTTATATTTACATTCTTCTCAAGTGGGATTTCATTCTTGAATTTTTCAAGGCCAGAGGTTTTTATCTTTAACCTACATAATGATGGCTTTTCAAGACCTTATCTGTTACCTTTATCCAGATGCACACGAGCATTAATACATTAAATTATTATGTAGAAGCTCGGGGAAGAATATGTTAATAAAATAAGATAAAGGAATTTAGAATTAAAGATGGATATTAGATTTTTTAACTTACTTGATTCGAAGATGCGATCCAATTGAGCTGAAATGGAGTAGTTATCAATTATTTAGCATGAAATTATGCTCAACAATGTAACCATTAAGGCCCCGTTTATCATTCAGTAAATACATAGGAATTGATTGAATTTACATAATTGATGCTCACAGTTTGTATAATAACCATTGGAGGAGCTAAAATTTGTATCATATCCTCCAAAATAACTACATCATTATAACAATTAAAAAGCCACTTCCTGCTTCACCATGGCACGACAATTACTTCAGTAGAGGTCCATCACTGTATTACTGCTTTACAATATATATATATATATATATAGATGGGGCATTAACATACATAACATCCAATTCCCATGAATTAACATTTTGAACACAAAAACAGTACTTTTTACATTTACACAACACAAATTTTTCATGCAATATAACAAATATCACAATTTTAACTTTTAAAAAGTGAATTTCACCTTCTCATACATGTACGATTTCACCGTGAGGAACTATCACCATGGATTCTCTTAGCTTTTGGAGCTAATGAAATTGAATCAGATGAATCCTTTATTGTGTTAGAATCGGTGAGAAAGTTGTGCCTGTAGGATCTCAACAAATTGAGAAGCATTTTGATGTCGTGTTGTTGTTGGATCTCACCCTTATTTTGCTCACATCCATAGCAAATTTATAAAGCATTTGAAGCAAATCCACCAAGTGGCGGACTTGCAGGCGACACCCACCGCTGTAAATTTTTATGATGCCGACTTTCCATTCTACTCCAAATGGATCCATTAGATCCGCACATGGAAGCACCACAACATCTTCGACAGCTTGTTGAGAACAAGATGTATCTCTCAAATGATCTTTCAGAGGTTAGAGTGTTGATTTAGTCTTTTATCTTGTATAATGACGTTAACAAGTGGTTACTAAATTTTCTATTCAAACAATCATGTGTCATTTTATAATGAGCTACTTTTAAGCTAAATTTTCTCATAGAAAAAGCCTTGTTTGTATATTCTGCGTAGCCCTCCAAGCCCTCCAAAATTTAAATGTCCCCTAGAAGGATAATATGGCTACAATTTCTTCTTTGTCATACTAATCATCACAATAAAACAAAAACAAAAGTCTTCTTTCTACAAAAGTTAATAAATTGTATTAACTAATTGCAACCAAAAGTTTTTTTTAATGCATTAAAAAAAAATTCCCTAAAATCATATAAGAAAATTCTTAAAGAAAATGGAAAACAAAACGGGAGCTGCGTATCTTCTTGTTTCTAAGCCCTAAATGAAAACGACTAGTTTCAGAGGCTCTAGTTTCCGAGCCTAAAAGGAAAACAATCAGCTTCGGAGGCGGCTACTTTGAGGAAGGGGAGGACTTAAATCTTTAACATAAAGGGGATGTTTCATCGCAAATAAATTTAATTTAAATAGAATATAATAAATCTTATAAATTTGAATTTATCAAATCTTGAAGTGGCTCGATCTTGAAAATTATTTGATATGCTAGCAATTAAATCGTAATAAATCTTGAGAAACTATTTAATAAATTAAGAAGGATTTAACATGATTTATTAGAATAAATATAAAAAAATAAATATTAAAAATTATAGAAATGAGTATATCAAAATTTTTAAACACTTCTTAAAAATAATTTAACATTAATCAATTATATAAAATAAGAATGACTTAATATTTAACTTTTTATTCATTAATTAAATATTAAATAATTTCATTTAGATTTATCTAATTATAATTTAATTATTAATTAATAATTATTAATGAAATAAATCAATAAAATTAACTTGAATAAAAAAAATTAAAACCACAAACTTATCCTCATTTTTCTCTCTGTCGGAATCTCTCGCCAACATCCTTCCTTTCACTGAAATTATTCCATAAGGAGTGCGAACTTCCAGTAAAATGCCGCAACGTGGAGGTTATTCGGAGGTTGTTGAAATGAAACCGTGAAGATTATTGATGGGTTATTGAGGTGTTATTATGATGTTATTGCGGGTTATGCAGATGCAGAGATTATTGAGAGGTTATTAGAGTGTTATTATGAGGTTATTGTGGAGTTTAACCGCGGAAGTCATTGAAAATTTGTTTAGAGTGTAAAAATATAGATTATTGATAAGTTATAGAGAAGTTATTAGTGCATTATTAAAATTAACGCTCAATTAACGCTCAATTAACGCTCATTAATCCTCAAATATGCTCCCACGTAAGGCACATGACGTCCGTACCCTTAGTGGGGCGTACGTACTCGTAATAATTTCTCTTTTCCCAGTTACGCCCCGAACTGCTCATCTCCGCCCAAACCCTCGCCTGTCCTCCTATCCCTTCGAGCTTCGCTCAAAACTATCGCCTTCGTGAACAAACCTTCGCGTATAGTCGCCATTAGCGCTAACTGGGAAGGCAACGACGGGATCGCGGCCTACAGAGACCACCGAAACTCCCATCTTCTTATCCTTCCGCTCAGCTCCTACTAGAAACCATTGAAGAAGGTAAGCCTGTTCTCGCTTTTATTCTTCGTTTGTCCCGGATTTATTAAATCCGCCGATTCACGGGTATTAATGAATCCCGGATTTACGGCAAATCGGCGTCATTTTGGAGTTACCAAATCTCAGGATATACGGAGGTGAATTTTGCCTTTGGCAGAATTTTAAATCCTGCGTAAAACTGCTTAAAATTGGCTATCAAACAGCTAGCTTTAATGGCGAATATAGGTAAGTTTGGGATTTTTTCGTGTTTCAAGGATAAAATAAAGTAATTTGAGAAATGCTGCATGCTGGAATTGTTAGAGGGACAGAGAGTTTATCATTTCAGCATTGAACCGAAATTCAACACACTCACATATAAGTTAAGAGCATTCGACATGAGATTTTCTATATGGAAATTTCGAAAAAGGAAAAAGCTATAGTGCTTGTCACTGTTGAAGTGATTCAACTGGTGTGAATTACTTATTACAAATAATGTTATTTCTTATAAATGGAGAAGCCATGATTTTCGGAAGATATCTTAGGGTGGAATTGGAGATTTAGATGCCTAAGTTGTCATTAGGGAACGACGAGCAATCATCTTGGCCATATTCTATAGGAGGGGAGATTGGGCAATTGGGAAGATGAATCTTTGATGTTTATAGTTGACAAACATCATACATTGGCAAATCTTAGATGATGATCAATTGAGAATGTCATAATCGAGTTAATGACTTGCTCAACCATTATTCTAGTTAAAGAGAAGTTCAATGATTAAGAAAGCAGGATTTAAATGTTGGTGGGTAATGAACATTGGCTATCAGGATTCAGACAACAATCAACTAAAATATTGGGCATTAGGAGATTATTGATGTCCATCTTGATAGGGATTCTTATAGGGGAGAGACTAATCACTAAAAAAATGAGGTTTTGTACATCAGTGATGAACAATCGTTAGATAGTGGTAGGTGACAGATAAGGCTGTCAGAATGGCTCGTTGTTCACAAACTGTTCGCGTTCGGCTCGTTAAGAAGCTCGTGTTTGATCTGTTCGCTAAGTTAACGAGTCGAACACGATCAATTTTCTTGCGCTCAATATATAAATGAGCTGAACACGAGTAAAGATTTGTTCATTTGTGTTCCGCTCGTTTTAGCTCGAAATAATTATATTATATATCAAAATAAATAAATAAATAAATAAATTATATATATATATTGAAATGATAATCCCTTTTCTGCATGATAAGCCTAAGCAAAATATTCAATCATATAACCAGATAAAATGTGCAACTCAACCGAAACCAGGGAGGGGAGAGAGAGAAACAACCCTCTCACGGTCTCACCAATTTTGAGAGTTGCTGCACCTCTCTAAAGCCCCTAAAATGACAAATGTAAGTGCCGATATGTGGAGGCTCTAACTCAATAAAGTTGATAATAACCTTCATTATCTTTCCATGTTTCATCGATGTAATGGGTAATCAAACACATATATCCGATAGTCTGATTGGAGGTCTAACAATCTGCAGTTAATGAGATCCTGCGAAAATCTTTAAGGCAAGATTTAAGCTTTTCTTTCTCGCACTCGTAAACTTGCATGCAATCATTTTTTATTGTGTTTCTTGAAACACTTTGAAAGCTAGGAATCAACATTTTTAACAATATATTGAACCAAACATGTTCAACCATCATGAATGGATACTGATGTACAATTATCATTTTCGCAATCAACTCTCTTATGAGTTGTTGATCTTAATTTTTAAGATCATAGAAAATATGAATCTCTGATTCACTCTAAACTTCCAAAGGCAAGAAGTTCAGTAATTTTTGTCTCTTGTCTGATAAATTAACTTGTTGTTGACTTTTTGCTTTTATCTTAGCACATTCCTTAACATGCCTAATAAGTTGTGAGGTTGTACCTTACTTTGTTTTGAGAATTTTCACCCCACAACAAATGCATTGAACATATGATACTTCAAGCCCCTTTGAATTTGATTTAATATCTATAAAATATTCCCAGACAACTGATTTTCTTTTCTTGCCTTGCGTACCTTGTATTTCAGTACTAGTGCTTCCAACAGTCTGTTCAATAGGTTGAGAACTATCGATTCCTTCTTCTGTTGCAAGTGACGATTGTTCGTCATTTGATACAGATTGAGAATGTTCAACATTTGACATTGTAAATATCTATACAAAAAAAAAAATAAATTATGTGTAATATACGAAAAATACTGAGTGGTGTCAAAAAACACTGAATGGTGTCAACTATAAAATATATTGAGCTAGATCTATTGCCTATAGCTTTTTTTTGCTGCAATAAAATGATAGATCTAAATTTAAAATTTGCACAATAGAAACCACTCCAAGTTCCTTTAGTGTAAATCAACATAACAAGTTTAATGTGAACAATTGAAACGTCATGTGGCTAACACAAGTTATCTTCTACCATAAGTTTAAAGCAGCATAGAAGAACTTGAATCCGAAAGCCCCTACTTCCAAAAACCAAGTGGAGTTTCATTGTAAAAGGAAGAATCTTTATGTAGTGAAGTAAGAGTTAATCAGATTTGATCGTTCTTACTTTTGTATAAACTTGATTTTACGATTTACAATAACGTTTTTTGTTGTATTCATATCTCATGTAAAAGAACTAGAAATTTCTCTCCCTTGGATTGGAAATCTAGGAAACTCGGAGATATCCATGTTGTGTGGTTTCTAGAATCTTATTGGGAATGTTGATATGTTAACTTTTGCATGTTAATATACTTTGAAATTGGCCACTTAGAATCTTAAAACTTGTTGTGATCTAGCATGATGGAAGAAGACTAGTGGAACAACTAAGTTAACACATATTTTTCTAGGACTATAAGATTATTGTCGTTGGGATTGTATAGTTAATAGGAAAATATGAAATTCTGGCGGTTTGTGTATGGTTTAAGAAACTAAATTAAAATATGAAATCCCAAGACTTCTTATGATCTTGAAAAAAGCTTTAGTAGATTTACTCCTGATTGCCAACTGCATTTGAATCACTCCGACAAATCTATATTTCTAAGTCAAATACAGGAGAGATATTTATCACATTAAAAAAACCCTCCTTTCTACCTTAGATTTTATCTTTCTAAAATTATTTTGTATATTTTAAAACTTCAAAATTTTCGTTACTTTAAACAAAATCTAAGTTTAGCAGACTAGAAATTCACCTATTTAAAAAATTGACTCGTTCTCTGTGAGATCAATAAATAGGCTTTTTTTAATCCGTATACTAATTGATCAGTTTTTTGGCACCGTTGCCGGGAAATGATATTAAATTTCTAATTTAAAAGAATTTTAGCTGAAAATTGGAAAATTAAAAAATTGTAATGTTATTTTGTTTTGTGTGTTTTTCATTATTTTTTGTTTTTTTACTGTGTTAAAAAATTTTAAAAAATATTGTTACTTGTGATTTTTTTTCTACTTTTTGCACATTAATATGCTTTATCATCTTGAGTGTTTTGTGTTAAGTTATTTGTGTTATTTGTTAGTTTATGATCACTAGTTAGTCCTAGGTTGTATGGAAGGACTGAGACTGTTGGACTAGTGTCATTTGATATCCGGGAACCCTTACAACTAAATAATATAAATGGGGTACGATAATTTATATCATTCTTAGATGACCACACAAGAACATTTACTTTTTTTATGAAAGAAACATATGAAGCAATCACCATATTTAAATTGTTTTATTCCACGATCCTTATTTAACTCCAAAATAAAGTTTAAATTTTTAAAAATGATATTATTAAGAAATATTTTAAATCCATCATCGGTCTTTATTTTTTTAAGCATGATATTATCCATATAAGTTCTTATGTGGATACTTCTCGATAAAAGTGTCCTTTAAAGGAAAAATAGACACATACTTGAGGTGGCCCGTGCCATTATATTATTTAATCATGCACCTAAGTATTTTTGGGGGAAATCATTCTCACTGCCATATATCTCATTAATAGAATATCTAGTCGAGTCTTAAAATTTTCAATTCTCCGTAATGTTTTGATGGAATCCTATCCATGTAGAGGATAAAAAATTCGTGTCTACATCAGAAGAACTACCACTAAGCATGTAGAGGACACTATGTAGACCCAAGGCTATCAAGAGCCAGAACCAAGTTCTTCTAATAATCATAATAGTATGGATTCCTCAGCGCAAGAGACTGTTGGTTGATGACTTTAAACAATTAGTTGCATAAAGAAAATGTATCCGAGAGTGCACTAATCATTCAATTGAAAAATATGTAGCTTATGGGAAGTTGGTACCATTTATAGGGCTTTTGTGACAAACCTTGATAGCGTACAAGTTTCCAACTCTAAGCAAGAGGTTCTAAAGTTCCAACATGGAAGCAGACAGCTGAGTAAAAAATTCAGGCTCTAAAAAAGAGTAAACTGTTGACACTTATGGATTTGCCTCGTGAAAAAATTCAAAAGAATACAAATGGATATTGACGATCTAATACAAAGGAGATGGAAGTGTAAAGAGATTCAAAGCC